GAGGACTGCAAACAAAGCCTCAACGTCAGCGTCACCAACAGGCACTTCTGTGGGCACCTCCAGGAGGCTGTGGACCAGCAATTAGTTGGAGGAAGCTTTTTAGCTACTGAGTATAAGGGCACTTGGTTTCTGACTGGTATCCTGGGATCTTGGCCACTAGAAGACACTGACTGGGAAACATTTCTGTTCACCAACACTGCAAGGTATATGGTGTGGGTCAAACAAAAGACTAAATAAGATGCAAACACAACCAACCCTCAAGCACCAAACCCCTACCAGTCCCTGCATCAAACATATGGATGGAGTCAGTGCACCCTTTTGACTCTCTCACACTTCACAGCAATGGAAGTTGCAACCATGACACCTGTATAACTCCAATTCACAGAGAAAAGCCTGTTTGTCTTTCCTTCTTCTGTGGACACGTTCCTACAGGGAATGGTCAAAAGCTGAGCCAGGGCAGAGTCAGATTGGATGTGAGGAGAAATGTTTTCCCTGTGAGGGTGTTGAGGCACTGGGATATTGCCCAGGGAGGTGGTGGAGTCACCATCCCTGGAAGTGTTGAAGAGGCATCTGGATCTGACACTGGAGGATCTGGTTTAGGGGTTCCAGCAGTGACAGGTTAATGGTTGGACTTGATGATCTTAGAGGTCTCCTCTGACCTTGATGGTTCTATGATTCTATGACACACAGTACTGTGAAACTCTACACATAGTTATTTTACTAAAAACTGACTTAACTTTAAATTTCCTGGAACTGTTCAGCCTAAACCTCAAAAGGCATTGATGTTTTTCTGGGATTTTAAAGGTTGCTAGAAGGAAATGAGACTCTTTAATTCCTGTTAGCCTGCGATTTGACTCAGCAAATTCATACTCATTTCAGAATCCATACAAGTAAAACTTATGAAGACCAGAGGAACTTCAAGCTTTTAAACATTCATGTAGCACTTGATGGTTCCATCACACTACAAAATGCTTCCCCTCATACATGATACCTGTGTTGTCCCTTATGAATCATGTCCATGTCACTTAGAGGGTAAAATAAAACCCAAGTGTCAAAGGCAGGGAAAAAACAGTTTAATATTCTTTAAAAATGGCTTCAAACTCCCAAAACTCTCATCACTCAGCACAAAGTGACATCATACCACCCCCAGAGAAACAAACCATCCAAGCCCCAAGAGGTAGTAACATTTGAAGTCCTGGATCCAGTGGTACTGTTTTTCCCAGAATATGGCTAAGTTAGCTACAACAGTTTCTGTTCATCGTAACAAAAAGTAAACCAAAACTTTACCAGAATCTAAAAAACCCCAAACCCATCTGTGAGCACCTACAGACACAACTCCCACATTTACTTAACCCCTTAAGTATTACTGACACAGTAAAGTTTTGCTGTGCAGCACTTCTCTAGGCTTTAGAGAAGGATTGATGAGAGTATTTCATACCAAGATCACTGAAGAGACTTAAAAAAAACAGCAGAAACCATGAAAATAAAAATTCTTTCCATTCTGAATAATGGATTGACACAAATAACAAAGATACTTCTCTTCTCTGAAAGATAAATAAAAAAAAAAACAGTAACATGACATACTTTATAAAAGTTTGTGAGTAGTTTGGAAGGAATTTGGAATGCTTTGCTTTATCTCTTCATGGAATACTTGGAGTGATCCAGAAAAGCCTGTGGACACTACCATTTCAAAGTTAGCATTTCATTCCAATGCACTTTGTAACACTGGCAGCCTTGGTCATTCTGGGAAAGGAGCCACAAACAGTTCCTGGTATTCCAGCCCTGGACATGAACCAGGTCACTTACAGTGTTTCTGGGGTGACCAGGAGCTGTGATCAGCACTGGGCAGGCTGAGTCTCTGAGAAGAGTCTGAATGGCTAAGATGCAAAACTCAACACACTGTTGACAGTGGAGGAAATGGGTTCTGCTTACTGACCACAAGCTTCTGGTGCTGATGGGATATGTAGCCTTTAATGTGACCCTGGCAAAGGAGAGAAAGGCAGGGTTAGTACTGGGAGCTGCTAACACAATGCCTATACCCTCAGCAAACACCTCCAACCCAACCCTAGCAAAGCTCTGGGTGTCCAATCAATCACTGCTGGACTTCATATGGATAAGGGTCCAATTTATGTGAGTGGCTCAACAAGGAGAGCAAGCAGAAAGCTGGAACCATCACCAGGTTTGTGTGCTAGGGGTGCTGTCAGCCTGAGAGCCTTGTGCCAGGGCCCCCTGTGGGTCTCTTACAAGAGCTCTACAGAAGCGTTTCTCAATTCACTCTTGTCCACTTCAAAATGAGGATCCTAATTACTATTCCATACCTAATAAGCTAAATGACTTAGTACTCTGTTCTCATAGTGCTACAACACTGGAAAAAAAAAAACTTGCAGTGACCTAGAGCACACCAAAAAATCTGTTTCAGAAACAGAGAAATGGTTCATTTTCTTGCTGAGACTGAAATGCTGCTCCAAAACCTCCAACTGAATGAAATCTCTAGATTTCAAGCCTTTGTCTGAGCAGTTGAGAGCTACTTAAAGACAAAATGTGGAACAAACCCAAGAAACCTGGCTTTACTGTTTTCTCATGACAGAAGGTCAAGAATCTCCTCCTTCAAATACAGAACAAACCCTTTTTTGGTCCTGGTTAAAATGTTTGTGTTTATAAATCAGTATTTATGAATATATACAAATGTCAGTACTGGATTTGTAGTGTAAAATTCAACTTCAGTTTTAACTGAAACCTAAAAAAAAAAAAAAAAGGCAGGAACTAGAGAAAGTCCACAGAGCTAGGGCAAGTCCTCAGAGCGAATGAAAACATTTCGCTTTGAGCACAAACGAATCAATTTTTAACATAAGAAAACTGTGATTACTGATGTGGTTTTTGCAATAAACTTTTGTTATCTGTCTAATCTCTTTTACTGTCTGAAGCACGGAAAGACCAGGCAACAAGTGGTCAGCACATTACCATATATATAAGGTTGGCTAAAATGCACTGGACTTCATCAATGTCAACATCATCCACTTGCATGAACTTCAGGGCAATCAGAAAGGCATCTAGAGAGAGCTGATGGGTTTTGAGCAGTAAATATCTGGAAGAATTAACAGAAAAAAAGGTGTTAGTGAGAAATAATCACCCAAAAATCTGGTCCTTAGAGAAATGGCCTTTTCTGCAGTAAAGTCACTTTAACAGGGAGTCAGTTCTCTCAGACAGAGGTAAGGAAGGGAAATGATTCCACCTCAGTCCCAGGTGAAACCACATTAAACCTGCTTTTGAAAACGGCAGGTCTTCTTATCCTTACACTTTCTTGAAGAGATTTCTGTACGTGATGATTTTCAGCTTCTCCAGGATGAGAAAGATTCCACATCGAATAAAGAAGGTCTCATGCTTTGTGGAAGCATCGTTCGGCGAGGAGATTGCCTTCACTGCCAGGAGGGAGAGAGGAAACAATGAGAAGGTCTCACCCATATAAGAAAAGAAATTAGAATCACAGAACCGTCAAGACTGGGGGAGAACTCTGAGATCATTGAGTCCAACCATTAACCTGTCACTGCTAGAACCCCTAAACCCTAAACCAGATCCTCCAGTACCAGATCCTCCAGTGCCAGATCCAGATGCCTCTTCAACACCTCCAGGGATGGTGACTCCACCACCTCCCTGGGCAATATCCCAGTGCCTCAACACCACAACAGGGAAAACATTTCTCCTCACATCCAATCTGACTCTGCCCTTGCTCAGCTCAAGGCCATTCCCTCTAGTCCTCTCCCTGCAGCCATGGCAGGACACACATCCCCCACCTCTCTCCAACCCTGGCAGGGAGTTGCAGAGAGCCAGGAGGTCACCCCTGAGCCTCTTCTCCAGGCTAACAAAGCCCAACTCCCTCAGCCCTTCCTCATCCCACAGGTTTTCCAGCCCTTTGCTGCCCTCGTTGCCCTTGGCTGGACTCGCTCCAGTGCCTCAATGGCCTTTGGGCAGTGAGTGCCCAAAGCTGAGCACAGCACTGAGCTGGGACCTCCCCAGTGCCCAGTTCAGAGCATTGGTTTGCTTCCCCAATCATCCAAAATAAATACCTTTTACTTATCACTTTTTGAGCACAAAGCACCAAAACAGGCATCATACCTCACAGACTTTGTTACTTCAGCAAACTGCATAAGGTCATACTTTTTTAAGAGCTGAACTGTTGGCATGTGGCCCTGAAAAATAAACCAGTTTTTCCAGGATAAAGTCAAATGCTTTTTTAAATAGAATCTGGCAAGCTTTAAAAAAAATAATGTTAAGAGAAAGAGACAAAGGTTTAACAACCTTTTGGGTTTTTTTGCCACAGAATAAGAAGTGAATAAAACTGTAAGACAATCCTCTTGTTCCTGTCAAACACCTTGTGGCTCAACTTGGAATAACTACTGACTTACCACGATTTAGGAACTCTTAATAATAGGAAACAGTTACCAAACTTATCAAATCAAGATCCTGGGCCACAAGGCCTAGGCAGAGTCAAGTTTTATGCCATGGCTGCAGACAGAAGAACTGCAGGAATCCTAAGCATTCCCAAGGGAATACTAGCAGTGCTTCAGCCCTGTCAAGTGCTAGCTCAGTCTGTACCGAGTTTTTTTTTTTTCTTCTCTGCCTTTGTGTGGAAATAAAAAATCCTTTCAAAAAAACAAATATCACCCTCAAAAAATAATAAAGAAGGGAGAAAGGTTAAATTGAAAGAAACCAAATCAGTTCTCATCACTGGATCAGGTAAGACTGAAGCACCTACACCATCAAAAAGAAACTGATTTTCTTTCCCCCCTGCACAGCAGAGATCAGATTGCAGTTGGTCAGACTTTAAATTTAGTTACATCATGCTATGCTGTTGGTAACTCCTGCCCTGACTGGAGGATTAGCAGAGAGCAGAACTCAGCTGCATGTTTACTGAGAGCTGCTAGGAATAAAAAAAACAACAGCCAAGCTATTTTAATACAGTTTAAGGTTAGTGCTAATGTTTGCTTTTACAGTTGCTTTTTTTAAATCCAAGCCAAATGACCTTCAACTAGTTTCTTTAGTGCCTCTTGTACACTAGAACTGCACAGGAATTCTAGGCACTGACAAACCAGTTCAAGGCACCAGTTAAGACTGTAAGACTGTTAGCTTTCCTTTATCAAACCTACCATTAATTGATCTAAAAACAACCAGTAGGAAAGGCCATAAATAAAAAATGGGAAACAGAAACCAATTATCATACCCATTATAATCCTTCCCCTTTAGCCACCTGACACAGCAAGGCACTGGAAAGGGAAGACTGACTGGAAAACGGTTGCCACATCCAGGTCAGGGCAAAGGTGGAAGATGGCAAGTCAGCAGAGACAGGTGATAACCACAGTCTCCATGGGTAACTTTGGGAACAGGGCCAGAACAGCAGACCCAAAAATCTAGTTCTAGTCCCCTCAGCAACACTGAATTAATTGTTAGCATAATCCCAGTAATTCAAGGGGTACACAAATGACAGCAAAACACATGGGAAAATCTCTGTTAAGATAGAGGTCTGGGATATTTCCAGCCATGTTGTTCTTTTCTTTGCCCTTCCAACCACTTGCTGTGTTTGGAAGTTGTGAAGGGAGACATTAAAGAGTGATTCAAAACCCTCCTAGAGCATATCTGAGCAACGATCATAGAATCATAGAATTTAGGGGTTGGAATGGACTTTAGAGATCATCCAGCCCCAACCCCCTGCCAAGGTCAGGGACCCCTCCCACCACACCAGTTTGCTCAAGGCTTCATCCAACCTGGCTGTGAACACTGCCAGGGTTGGGGCAGCCACAGCCTCCCTGGACAACCTGTGCCAGTGTCTCACCACCCTCACAGGGAAAGACTTCTTCTTAAAAATCTAACCTAAAATTCATCTCCTTCAATTTGTCCCCATTGCCCC